AAATAGAAGGAAAGAGAACACACACTCACATTAACTTGTTTGATTTCTGTCTCTTTTTATTATTATTTACATGTTAGTGCAGTTTGTTGAGCTCTGAGATTGTAATTATGAGCTGACACATTCTGGGTGTGCAACCTCCAAACAGCTTCTCTGTCTTTGTTTTTATTTACAACGCATGGCTGAAATGATGGCAAAAGGAGCTTTTTTTTTTCATGATTTGTGTGTTTTTTTTTTCTGTCTATGTGTTTGTTCATTTTGCTTATACTTTTCAAGTCATCTTCTCCACTGTTTGTATTTTTTTGACTAATTGGCTTGGCTTCATCTGACGAGGCAGGTGGCTGTCTCTGGAACACCAAAAAAAAATGCAATCTGATATTTGAGGCAGGTCGTGGGGTTCAAAAAGACGAAAGAAAAAAAACCCCAACATTTATGAAGGCCAGATTCAATTGGGGCTGAGGGGTTCGTGTGTGCGTTTGCGTGTGTTTTTGTTTTAATTAATGAATACTACAGTGAAAGTAGGGTGTGCAGAGGCTTCAGGGGCCGTGTTGCCCCCCCCCCCTCTTCATTTACACTACATTCATCTAACAGTGCCTGATGTATTTAGAAATCTATCTCGATGAGTTAGCTGAGCTGTGATCAAAAAGACAAAAAAAAAGAAAGTATTACGTGTGCATATTTAGCCAAAGGGTTTTTACGATGAATTCTATATATATATATCTGCGATTATGCATCAGTCCACCAGGGGCTCTGATTTATTTTTAATTTTAGAGTGAATTTGTGGTGCATACTTCAGTTGGAAGGGGCATCCAAACTTTTAGATGATTTTTAATTCTTTTTTTTTTTAGCAAGATGAACACAATAACGCGAGTAACACTAAAATCAACAAGCTACTCAGTTACACTTTGTTGCCAGAGGGAGGCGATCTCACGGTGTGTTACATAAACCCGAATTATGTAACACCGAACGGCTGTGATTTTATTCCTTCATCTCATAATTTACTAAATTTATTTTTTTGTCGTCATTTCATTTTTTATTTTTTTTTATTATTTTTTTTTGACACAATCTTTCCACCAGGTGGCCATAACCCGAGCCCTCCTGCACTTTTCTGATTTTATTGACTGAAAGTGCATCCACAATGTGTCAGGATTCCCTGTGAATCCCGGTCCAGATCCTAAATCCTACAAATGTTTTCTTTTTATTCCTGTGTTAAACTCTCTCAAGAAAAAAATAGGATGTGAAAGCCATGCCTGCCTGTTCAAAATTGCTTTATACATACGTCTTATATATAAATATATATATATAAATCTATAAATGTATAAAAATGTAGATAAGTCATTGCATATACAAGTACAGAAGAGAACAAAAAATAGATAATTTTACAGGGTGCTGGAGAAGAGAAAAAAAATCAAAAATCTATTTTTGGCAATTTTAGCTTTTGATACTTTACTTGCATTTACAAAATCCTTGAAAAAAAAAATCCAAATAAAAAAAACAGTGTATGGGGGAGAGAGGGAGGGCAGAGTGAAATAGTGAGTGGGTGATTTTAAAAAGTGCTGTTATCCTAGATGTGATTGGAAAGGAAGACGAAAGAGCAGAACAGTCAAAAGATCTTTGAGGAGTGTTGGCGATCCTAGGATCCAAACGGGAGGGAATTCCCAGGAGGGGGATGGGGGGGGGAGGAGAGAGTGTTTTTTTTAACAAGATCAAATCATAGTGCCTTATCAACAGTGGTTTCTGTTTCCTGAGTGTGTTCCTGTTGTGTTCAGTAAATATCCAACACCCACCAAGTTGGCGCAGAGAGGAATGGCTAAGTGTTACGCGCTCTGGGCAGCAGAGCGGGGTAGCTCCCAGCATATCGTGGTGTTACCCAAGTTATTCTATGCAAAAACAAAAAAAAGGAAAAAAAGAAAAAAATGAATAGCAGTCGTTTCTGACCAGCTAAAAACATGTGCCATGGTTTTGTCTTCCTGGAATGATGATTTTGTTTTCCTTTCTTTTTCCTTAACCTGACGGCCCTTTACACTGCTTTCTGAGCAGACTCTGTTCTCACTATGTTAAGATTTTAACAGACATATGAAATATTGTATTGATTTCTGTAAGTGTGTGTGTACGTGTGTGTGTGTGTGAGAGAGAGAGAGCGCGACGGGGACTAGCTTCTTCGCAAGAATTGAACTGCCAATAGCGACGCGGTAGTCTGCCAGAACATGAGCTAAGAAAAATACATAAAACATTCAAAAGGAAATGAAAATGGAATTGGAGTTTGACTTTGTTTGTTTCAGCAGCTGAAAACATCACGTCCACGTCAGTTAGTAGTCGTTGTTTTGGGGTTTTGTTTTTTTTTTTTAAATTAGTTCAAGCTGCGGTCGACTAACATCTCCAGATCTTAAATTAAAAAATTCTGCTCAATAAAAAAAACAACACAGTGTTTTTTCACAGCCAAACAGTTTTCAGTTATTGAAACAAACTGACAGCTTGTCACTGCAAGGTTAAAAATAAAAAAGAGTAAAATAATCGTTATTAAATTGACAAACTGTTAGATCTCTAATTTCACCGTTGGCAGTTTGTTCTTCTGTTCATTACTCTTTCATCATGCTGTTACAGCAAAAGGTCAATGATATACAGCATATATCGCTTTTTTTTTCACTTTCCTTTATTTTTCAGTGTTACTATTATTTTTCTTTTAAATTGAAATGCAATATTAAAGTGGAGCACGTGATGGCTGCTCAGCATTTGACAGTATTAAGAAGAAAGGAAAAAAAAAAAAAAAACTAATTCCCTCTGCAATGTTACAACTTGCTGTGTGAACGGCTGGATAAGTCCATCAGGTGAAAGGTGAAACTCT